TTTGTGGCAACAACTCTGGAAGCCTACATTTATAAATTTTAAGTGACTAAAATCTTTTAACTGCTTTACATATTTAAGTTATTTATTAACCATTCAGTCGTCTGACCTAACACAGCCTTTCAAAAAAACCACAGTGCATGATCGGGCTCTCTGCTCGGTGGGGAGCCTGCTTCCTCCTTTCTCTGCCTGCCTCTCTGCCTGCTTGTGATCTGTCGGTCAAATAAATAAATAAAATCTTTAAAAAAAACAGAAACAAAACCACAGTGCGTGAACATACAAACACAGTCAGCCAACAATTCTCTTCAATGTCCCTATACCACAAATACTAAGTTGACCATGGCCAAAACCTTGGCATGGCCCGGCCTGGTGAGGGCACACGGTGCCTGGACACAGTTCTGTTTGAGGGCTACTCCCAGCTTCACATTTGGAGTCCAGGGTGGTCAGGTCAGAACACAGGCCCCACAGCTCCCAACATCTCAGCGCATTCCTCCCCTTTCTGGCCTCTGCAGGGAGAGGTGAAGGAGGGGCCACCTGCCTCCCACAGGCCCTCATGAGCAGGCAGATCCCCCACCCGTGGGAAATCTGGCAGGACAACTAACGCCCTGGGGTCCTCAGGACCCCGATGAATCCGTCCTCCTGATTTAGACTCCACACTCCTGATGAACGGTGGCTGCGAGGCGGCCGTTCCAAACTCCACACAAAAATCCTAGTTCACGCCAAGGTGCAGAGGACCCCAAATCTGGTCCGTTCCTGGCCCCACATCACCTCCGGTTCCGGCTTGACGCCTAACCTTCCCTCGAACTCAGTACAATTCCGTCTCGAGATTCTGCACTTCACGTGCTAAACGGTGAGGTCAGCCACCAGAAAAGAAAGTTGGAGGGAGAGCGAGGAGAAAAACACAGGTTGGCTTTAATCGGAGCCACTCTGCATCTGTCGAGAGAGAGGGCGCGGCCGTCTTCCACTGGCCACTCGCCTGGCCGTTCCAGCTGCCCGGGTCACCTGGAGCACTCCCTGGGCCTCTCAGTCCTGCACCGCACCCCCGCTGCCCCCGTGGAGGCCGGCTCCGCTCCCACCTCACTGGCCTGTTCAGCCAGCGCAGCCTTGTCCTTAGCCGCGTCCAGTCCCAGGGAAGAGTCGCTGTGTCTCTGGGGAAAAGTGTTGTTTCCTTAAGAGCCACATTCCGCTATGCAGCCTTCCCCGGAGTCACCAGAACAGGCCCCAGCAGTTTCACCGAGGGCCCCTGGCTGGCTCAGTCGTTAACCGTCTGCCTTGGGCTCTGGTCATGATCCCAGGGTCAGGGGTGTGGCATCGAGCTCTGCCTTGGGGTCCCGGCTCGGCAGGAAGGCTGTTTCTCCATCTCCCACTCCCCCTGCTTGTGTTCTCTCTCGCTCGCTGTGTCTCTCTGTATCAAATAAATAAATAAAATCTTTTTTAAAAAATTAAGAAGGAAGGAAAGAAAGAAAGAAAAGAAAGGAAGGAGGATGGATTGGAAGGTGCTGGAAGGCTGAGGCCCACGCCTCGGGAATAGGCACACCCAGGCTACAAGGACAGGAGGAGGGCCTCCTGCAGGAGGTGGAGGGTTCTGGGGCAGGAATGCCAGCAGGCTGGAGGAGAGCCAAGCACTATCCTGTCTGTAGGCTCCAGAGCTGCCCCAATGCCCTGGAGCCCAGTGAGGCCTGACAGTCCCCTGGGTAGACAGAAAATATGGGGCCTAGGCCCCCACCAACCTACCCCCAACCCTGGGGCTTTCAGAGGTGGCCTGGTTAGGGTCTGCAAGGAGCAGAGAGAGGATCTGGAGACCCTGGGACAGGAGTAAAGATGGCCTCTCCTGCTCTGCTCAGTGGGGAGGCTCCCTAGGGATGGGATCTGGATAGTAGCTTCAGACCCAGAGAAGCAGCCCGCTGAGCACCACCCTTCCCCAGCCCAGCCTCCCTGGAGAAGGCAGAAAGGCCTCAGCACATCCTCAATGGCCCATCACCCAGGACTCTTCCTCCCGGCCCCTCTCATGCACCCCAGCCCCCCTGAGGCATCTCCAGGGGGTACCCCGAAGCACTCTGCACCCACCCTCCCTGAGCTCACAGGCTGCGGGGGAGTGCAGAGGAGGCCGCCCACACCTGGGGAGGCTACCGGACGGGTCGCATCTTCCAGAGGGAAGCACATGTGAGCCAGTAGCCTGGGGCAGGCTGCTGACACATTTGCGCCCCTCCTGTCCTCACGCCCACCCTGGGCAGGAGCAGAGCAGAGAGGGCAGCCGGCAACGCCACTTCCAGCGGCCACGCCAGGGGTTGGAGTGGAGGTGAGCATTCCAGATTGCGTCTTTAGCCCCCAACACATGGATAGGAAATACCATTTCCTACTGAGAGGCCAGGACTCCTTGGAGAAACAGCAGATTGCAGGTCTGGGGAAGCCTTCAGGGTTAGCCGGAAAATAGCCCTCGTCAGGGAAGGCCACAGAGAACATGCCACCACTAGTGGACCTGTGAGCTCACCGCCCCCCCCCATCTTTGCAGTGTGCACCACACTTGCCTTCCCAGCTGCCGGACACTGCTCCAAGAACACCGCCTTGGGATACTGATGAACCCCCTGCGTGGCGTTGAGACCCCTGTGCAGTGTGTGACTAAATCCCATTAAGGCCTCTGTCCACAATTTTAAGACTCTATCCTTGTTTGTTTTCTTGGTTTTTTTTTGAGATTTATTTATTTGCCAGAGAGAGACACAGCGAGAGAGGGAACACAAGCAAAGGGAGTGGAAAAGGGAGAAGCAGGCCTCCCGCCAAGCAGGGAACCTGATGTGGGGCTCAATCCCAGGACCCTGGGACCATGACCCGAGCCGAAAGAAGACAGTTAACCTACTGAGCCACCAGGTGCCCCAAGATTCTATCCTTGTTTAAGTAGGCTCTACACCCTGTGCGGGGCCCAAACTCACAGCCCTAAGATCAAGGGTCACGCACTCTACTGACTGAGCCATCCAGGTGCCCCTAAACTTTTAAGATTCTAGCAGGCAAATGCAAAGATCTACTTGTCCTGTGGCCACCCAGACAGGCCTCGTATGTAAGTTCTCTTGCTTATGAAACCTGCCACTTACCCCTCTGGAGTGGCCTCTCTTCCATGTCTCCCTGCTCTCTGAGTGTGGAGACTAGTTTCAGGTCTCCCTGAAAAAGGCAGAAAGGCCTCAGCACACCCTCAATGGTGGGGGAAGATCCCAAGGGGCTTGGGAACAAACCCCTGCATTTGTGGATACGCCCTTATTTAGAAAAAGCATCTTGCAGATGTGATTATAAAGATCCAGAGATGAGGAGAGCATCCTGGCCTACCTGAATGGGCCCATCACGAGGGTCCTTACAGGAGAGAGGCAGGGGGGCATGGGCAGGCGGAGAAGCCGTGTGAAGACAGAGTGGGGACATGCAGTCACAAGCCAGGAGACACAGGCAGCCTCCTGAAGCTGAAGAGGCAAGGGGGGTCCTCCCTGGAGCCTGTGGAAGGGTCACAGCCCCGCCCAGCACCACACCCTGATCGGACTTCTCCTTCCAGAACTCAGGAGAGCCCATTTTTAAAGCCACCAAAGGTGTGGAAATTTGTCACAAAAACACAAAGAATTAACACAGTCTGGGTGTCTTTTCACACCAAACAGCAGGATGTCCACCAGAGACGGTTGTCACATCACGAGGACCTTGGAGCCATCTGCAAGTCCCACTCCAATCCTGGCCGAGGAGTCGGAGCACCAGGGAGGCGGTCCTCCAAGGCTCCGAGACACAGATATGCTGACATCTACACATTCTTCCCTTTTTTTAAAGATTTTATTTATTTATTTGACAGAGAAAGAGGGAGAGAGGGAGAGCACAAGCAGGGACAGTGGCAGGCAGAGGGGAGAGCAGGCTCCCTGCTGAGCAAGGAGCAGGATTCGGGACTCGAACCCAGGACCCTGGATCATGACCTGAGCCAAAGGCAGATGCTTAACCCACTGAGCACCCCAGGTGTCCCTGAAATCTACGCATTCTTAACCCAAAAGAGGCAAACAGATCACCTTCCCTGTGGTGCTAGGAGCCAATGCTTGCAAACCAGTAAGTTAAGAGTAAGAGTGAGGACTTCACTTGCCTTTCCTGGAGGAACTAACCAAACAGTGCTTCTCTCTCCTGCCAGGGTCTCTCAGATGAGTGAGGAGGGTGGCCGGGGTGGGGGGGATCGTCACTGTTCTGCCTTCTCAGGTTCTAGTGTGAAGGAGGTGGGTTCCAACAGCACAGCCTCTACCGCCCGGTACAGACTACGCGATGGCCTCTGGAGCACTCGCCCCGACAAGCCAGCTCTATGTCTGACGAGGCCTCTGTATGCGCTCACATTGGCGGGGAATACCCAGGAAACAGGAGTGCCACGGGGGTGCGACCAGCACAGGGAAACTCCCCGAGACCAATGTGCCACTTTCTTCCAAGGAATAGGCTGCTGGAAGGTACGAAGCCGGCACTGACCTGTAGCACTGGGGGCCTGTCCTTGGCCGGGGTGGGGTAGTGTGACAGTCATACTAAGGTCATTGGCCAACCCCAGACACACGTGGCACTTCGGGGCTCGCGGGGATGGCCCTTCGGCTCTGCACCAAACCCGCACACTTGTTATACGAGGTTTTCTGTAATCTGTTTTGCTAGCTATCGAATGTTTTGCTTCATTTTGCTTTTTTAGGGACACGGAGCCCAGAGCATTTGGTGACTATTTTGAGAATGTGAGGACGGATAGGGCAGCCCCAGATTCTGAGGCCAGAGCTGGAACGGCAAGCAACAGGCCTGTGGTGGCAGGTGAGACGGGATATACATGTCCAAGGGCCCATGACCGCCTCCCCACACACAGTGTGCTGTTGCCACGACAGGCGCCCATGTCAGTGAAGCTCAGACCCCAGGCAGCTTCAGGGTCTTTATTGGCCCTGGGCAGAGTGTCAGGGCAGGGGGCGTTGACCTAGGTGAGCAGCGGAGCCCCCGACAGTGGCCATCCTCCCAGGCCCCCCCGGCCAGGCTGGTCACCAGCTCAGCACCCCAGGGCAGTACTTGTCAATGAGGCCCTGGTAGTAGGGCCGCAGCGTGTCCACATCCGGCAGTTCCGGGCTCTTGGTGTAGAGGTCAAATTTGCTGCAGCAGGGAAAGGACCGTGCCTCATAAGGAAGCCCCCAGCCCCTCCAGTCCCCTCATGCCCCCCCCTCGGCCCCCCACAGGGATGGCTGTACTTAAACTCCTGCACCCAGGGAAGCATGGCCAGGTCCCGCTCACTGCACAGCTGCCGGTAGTCGCCGCCCGTATGCCAGGGGTAGAAGGAGTGGAACCGGATGATGTAGAAGGCCTAGGGCAGAAGGAAGCCACGGCCAGCGAGCTCCAGGCGCAGGGGTTGGGGGGGTGGGGGGGGCGGGGAGGGCGGGGCGACCACACGGGCCCCTCCCCTCCACCTACCTCTTGGGGAAGAGAGAATTTGTTGAACTTCATCATCTGATACATGTACTCTGCCGGAGACACGGTGTCACTCCCGGGCTCCCAGAGCCGTGCTTCCCCGCCCTCCGGGGCCCCCACCGTCCTCACTGCCCACCCCCGACTGGCCTCACCGTCATGGCCCCAGGACATGAGGACGTGCTCCAGGCCGCAGTGAGGCTGGTACATGCCGAGCTCCGTGCTGCAGGGACAGACAGAGGGTGAGGGGCACGGGCGCAAGGGGGGGAGGGGGGCCGGTGGCCGGGGAGGAGCACCTGTATAGGGGATCCTGGAGGTCCGGGTTGTCCTGGAAGGTGGAATCGCAGAAAACCACAGAGGCCTGGGGACGGCAGCCGACTGGGAAGGTGTCTCCAACTACCGCCCACTGTGGACAGGCAGCCACCAGCATGTGTCTGGCCGGCCTACCTGGCGGGTTTCCAGAGCCCTGAGCCCCAGCCGTCCCAGCGGCACCCCTCCACCCCTGCCCTTACCTGGGGCTCCCCTGCCAGAACCAGGACCTTCCCCAAGTCATGCAGCAGCCCCACGAGGTGGAACCAGTCTAGGAGGGAGAGGGACAGAGCAGGCTAGTGGGGATGACGAGACTAGGTCAGAGGCGGAGGAGGAGGCTTGGGGCGCAGGGGTGAGGCCAGGAAATGCCAAAACCCATCTGCAGCCCACCACGGGAGGGAGGCGCACCCTTGTCGGGGTGGGCTTTCCGGATGCCCTCAGCAGTCTGGAAGGCATGGAAGGAGTTGGGGAAGTCCACGTCTGGGTCCGACTCATCCATCAGCCCGTCCAGCATGTCCACAGCTTCCAAGACAGTCATTTTCTTGTAGGAGAAGGCCCCAAACTGGGCGTGCTAGGCCAGGAAGGGGAGGTCAGCACGGCCACGAGATTGGTTGGATCAGGGCCCGGCCCCTCTCCATCCATCCGTTTGGCCTGGGGAGGTGGGGACTGGCAGGTGAGGAAGCTGCCAAGTACCTTCTTCCTGACGAAGTCCACGGTTTGCTGAGTGTGCATGAGCTTATACGTGGCAAAGACACGGTCCAGGAGCGGGCCAGACTGCAAACCAGAGGTCAGCTAGCAGACTCACTGGTCAGTCCCTGCCCTTCACACCTCTGGGGGCCACTGCTCCTGTCTCCCAAACTTGGCCCCAAAGATGTGAATGAGAGCATCCAAGAGAGGACCCTGAGCCGTGCAAAGTGGCAGGTGCTGCCCACCCCCAGAAAGACAGGCCTGGGGTGGGGTGGGGCCGGGGCCGGGGTGCGGGTGGGGCCCTTACCCTGTAGTTCCGGAAGTTGCCCTTGTCTTTGGCTACCTCTGGGTCCACATCAGGCCGGTAGACCAGGGAAGGGTCTGGGCCCTGCTTGGGTGGGGGATTACGCCCATTTCACCATCATGCCAGCTCCATGAGGAAGTGAGGCCATCCCCATGGGGACACCAGAGCCTAAGAGATGGACCAGCAGGGACGCCGGTGGCCAGCAGGGCACAGCCCCTCCCGAGCACATCTGCCATCAGAGGCAACCTTGCCATGGGTGTCCTTCTCTGCAAAATGGGCATCAGCCAGAGGCCTGCTTCTAGGGTGATGCAGGAGTGCCCGGGATGCCGTGTGCGAGCACACAGCACCAGCGGCCGGCATCTCCTTCTCGGGACCTGGGTCTGCAGGGAGCCCAGGGGTGGGGCTGCTGACCCTTGCCCCAGCTAAGCCTAAACAGCAGGAGGAAGACAGGAAAGAGGGAGCCCTTTGACCGGGACCAGCAGACTGGTGGGAACCAGCTGAGAGAGGGTGGGAGGCTGCCAATCTTTCCCAGGAGGGACGACTAGCCCAGGTAAGCAGGCCGTGGGGCCACACCGTGCTGGGTCTAGAGTACTCACCACAGCCGCCTTCATCTCGAGGGAGCAGAGCTGGCAGGTGGGTGAGAGTCCCCCGGGCCGTGTGCCCCTATATATGCCCACAGCTTACATAAGTGACCGGACACCACCCAGCCCCTTGGCCTTGGCCCTCGGTAATGAGTGACCATCCACCGTCCTCCTGGCCTCAGAAGTTAATGTGTCAGCACGGGAGCAGCTCCCGGCGCCCCAACCCTGGCCCCAGCCCCCTCTCCCTGACTTCGGCCTCCCTGAACCACTAACCTGCTCCGGATGGGTAGCCCTGAGTGGCGGCCAGCCTCCGGTGGTCCCTGCAGGGTTTTAAACCCCACCCTGGCCACCGTAGGCCCCTCCCAACTGGTCCTGCAGACCCTGGACCCCACCCATCAGCCTCAGGCCCTGGGGATTCTGGGAAGTGCAGGAAGAGTCTGTCTGACACTTGCTGAACAGGAGCGAAAGAGTTTATTCACCACCATTGCAGTAGGGGAGAGAGAATCCAGCAAAGACAGCGGGGGGCTTGGCTGCTGATAAGCAGAGTGGGGTCCGTGGATGGAAAGTTGCTAAGGGCAGATCTCGAGGGGAGAGGGGGATCCTCGCTAAGCTGTCCCACGGGAATCCTGCTAAAAGACCGGCCAGGTGATGGGATCTCGAGGGTGGGGGTGGGGATCCTTGCCTAATACTGGGTGAGGCCTGGTGGAGCCGCAGGGCTGGTTTGTCGAGGGTGGGCTCTTTGTCTGGCATTTGAGGTGGGCAGCTTGGTCTGGAGTCGGGGCAGAGGTGAATCCAGCCGGTGTTTACCGTGCGTGAACCGGGGCTGGGCACTGCGGACACAGTGGGAATCTAACTGAGGACACACGCCTGCCTGGGAGCTGACTGTGTCCAGGGAGGAGGCAGACACGCAGCAAAACAAGACCTTGTCACCAATTGGCAAGGCCGGTGCTCTCAAAAAAGATGGGGGGGTGTCCAAGTATGGTCAGTGGGGGACACTCAAAGTGTCAGCCTCCACCTGCGGGGGTGTGGGTCAGAGCCCCTACTCAGCATCACTGAGGCAAGAAGGCTGTGGGAGTGGGGGCTGCTCCTGCCTGTGCGGAGAATAAACTGGGGGCAGTGCTGGGCCCCCCGTGAAGATGGCGACATGCAGCCTGTCCAGCACTCTCCAGCGCGTGACATAGTCTGTGTCGTTGGCTTAGTTCTCCTTTGAGGTTCTTTTCCCTCTGCCTCCTCCCACTGTGATGTCCGGTGGGAGGGGGGTAGTTTGTCGTTTCTTCGTGCTCGGCAAACAATGCTGACGGCATGGGGGGGCTCCAGGGAGGTGACCGGAGCCTTCACCTACAGAAAAAGGAGCGAATGAACAGCCCACAGTGCTTGTCTGAGGAAGACGTGGCTGGTGGGGGCTCTGGGGGAGCTTGGGTGCTGCCACTGAAAGTCCGAGTGAGGCATCAGGTAGGAGGCCCCAGCGTGGCCTGGAGCTCAGGGGCCACTGGGAGGCCACATGTCATGGCGCAGGGATGCCTGGAGGTCCGCTGTCCATCCTGCTTTGAGGAAAATCCACTCCACTCTGTGGAGTGCCAGGGCACATGGCATGGGACCTTGGGGGTCTGGTCACTCTGACCAGTGTGGGGGTGTCCCTGGAAGAAAGAACAGTGTACGTGGAGGACAAGACGATACACAGGCCCAGGACTGGCCGCCTTGGTGGGTGGGGTGGGGGGGTCTTGGCCACGTGGCGCCCTGACCAGTTCAACCCTCCTAGATCCCTCCTCTTCGTTTCTCCCCAATCCCCCTTGCCAGGCTCTCACTGCCCGCTCTCTCTGCCTGCCCCTGCTGACACCCTTCAGTGGCTCTGAGGCCCGGCCCGCTGGCCTCTCCTGCCCTCACTCACTCACGCTGGTTCCAGCCTCTCTCAGCGGCTTTTTGGGGGTGGGTCCCCGGCCACACCCACAGCTCCTGTGGACTCAGGGCCTGGGCTCTCTCAACGCCTTCCCCCGGGCCCCTTGATGCTTCCTCCAGGCAGCCTTTCCTGCCTGCTGTGCTCTGCTTCCCACCCTCCCTGCAGGGCCGGAGCCGGCCTGGACTGTCCCCTTGCTGCCTAATGGAGGGATGACAATGCCTTTTCCAGCCAGGCAATTCCCAAGCCAGAAGAGCAAGTGCCAGGGTGGGAGCCCAGATGGGCATTTCCAGGAGCCTCCCACCCTTAGGGGGCCCAGGGTCTCTGAGGAGCAGGCCTGCCCGCAACCCTGAGCACCCATGACCTCTGTGGCTGTGGTTTCTGCTTCAAGAGGTGGGAGAATGTTGACGCTCTCCTCTCAGGGTGACTGACAGATGTTGACAGATGAGGTGCGGTGAGAGTGTTTGCTGGTGCGGAGCACTAGAAACCGCCTTTCTCCAGGACACCCCCAGGGGTTGGCTCTGGTGGTTAAGCATCTGCCTTCTGCTCAGGTCATGATCTCAGCATCCTGGGACTGAGCCCCGTGTCGAGTCTCATGTCGGGCTCCGTACTTGACTAGGCATCTGCTTCTCCCTCTCACTTTCCCTCTGTGCTCTCTATCTCTCTCTCAAATTAAAAATACTGTAAAAGAGGGTCCCCTGGGTGGCTCACTGGATTAAGCCTCTGCTTTCGGCTCAAGTCATGATCCCAGGGTCCTGGGATCGAGCCCCGCATCGGGCTCTCTGCTCAGCAAGGAGCCTGCTTCCTCCTCTCTCTCTGCCTGCCTTTCTGTCTACTTCTGATCTCTGTCAAATAAATTTAAAAATTTTTTTTTTTAAAATACTGTAAAAGAAAAGAAAAGAAGAGAAACCACCTTTCTGAACCCTGGGTGATGCCTGCCTGATGGGGGAGGGGCAGGGGGGTTGGATATCAGTGATATGGAACTAACAAAGAAAGGCTCAGGGATCACAAACCAAACCTAAAGGCCCAACCTGGGGTGAATACACGTGAGACGCGCCAGCGATCTTGCTCCAACCTTTAAAGAGTTTATTTATTTATTTGACAGAGAGAGAGAGAGAGAGAGAGAGATCACAAACTTGAGTGGGGATCACCTCTTTGGATAGGGAGAGCATCCCCTGCCCTGAGGGATGGGAAGGGGCCTTCGCTGGGTGCTGCCCTGCCCTGGAACGCCCCAGTGGACCTCCAGAAACTCAACGCCTTCTCCCAGGGTCCCCAGCTACTGGGCTAGAGATCCAGGGAAGGGTCTCCATTTTCACCTTGAGCCCAGGCCCCAGAGTTGGCAACTGGAACAACACAGTTCCCAACAGGGCCTGTCCTCCCTTTACCCTGGCCCTGGGGACGGGGACCACAGTGGGGTCCTCCTCTCTGCTGCCCTCCCAGTCTCGAGGGCACAGGGAGTGGACGGGCTGGGGACCTGGGACAGTCACAGTGTGCGTTCCCAGAGTCAGGGTTGAGTCTGATGATGTCAGGATGCAGCGGGAGGTGGGGGACACCCTGGCTTCTGCTCCACATCCTTGGGCAGACCCTGCCCCTCTGAAACCCTTTTTAGAGGTACAGACTCTGCCCACAGATCCACTTGGTTCCACACATGTGCGTGGGTTTCCGCATCCAAAGCTGTTTAAGGGTGCTCACTACAGAACCTGCTGGGGTGGGGTGGGAGTTGCTTTGGGGCCTGCGCACCGTTCTGGTGACTGGGGTGTGCAGGAGGTCCAGGGGCTGGATGGGGGCTGGGTGGGGGCTGGGTGGGGGCTGGGGGCCCAGGCGCAGCTCTGGGACGGAGGTACAGCATCCTGGTGGGGCCAGGCGTGGGGATGGCCCTCTCCACCTCAGCCGTAGCTGTGGGGGCTGCTGGGGTCCATAGGGGCTGAGTCCCGTGGGCCGGCTGACCCCACCAGCTGCCATAGGCGGTGGCTGAGGTTCTGCACTTGGCAGGTGCCCAGCACACAGCCCACTCTCAGGAGCTGGTCTCGGGACCTACGGGGGCCCAGGTGCCGGGGGGGACCGCCCCGGAGAGGCCACCCTGGAGCAGGGGCTTGGCTGGCGCTCCTCTGTGGATGCAGGGCCTGCTGTAGCCTCCAGACCACACGCCGAGGTGTGGGGTGACGAGGCTTCAGGCCACTGGAGGGGGTCCTGGCTGGGGGCGCCCTGCAGAGGGGGATGGAGGAAGTAAACCTGGTGGCCCAACCTTTCTGAGACCCCCACGCCCACCTGCTTTCCCTCCACGCAGGCCTGGGGTCATGGGCAGGGGAAGCCAGTTTCCCCAGCAGCCTGGAGCACGGCCAGGGGAAGCCCGCAGCACCCCTCCACGCACACACACAGCCTGGAGCACGGCCAGGGGAAGCCCATGGTCCCTCTGGAGCTCTGGGCTTGGGTCCTGTCTCCCAGCCACCTCAGCAGCCCAGGTTACAGGGCCATTCACCTGTGCAGGGCACATGCCTCCCCGGGCAAAGGGCAGTGCTGGCCTCTGTGGGTCACTATGTTCATGACCCGCATGACCCTGCCCCCTCCCAGCCCTCCACTCGGGGGTTGGGGAAAGGTGGGCAATCCTGGGGATCCCTCCAGCCTCCCCTCTCTTAGCCAACCTCTCCTTGAGAGGGTTGCTCTACCAAGGGGAGTGCCCTAGAAGGGAGGGACACAGAGGGGCCTCTTGCCCTGCTCAGGATTTGCCGAGGCTTATTTTCTGGCCTTGATTTGGGAGGTTAAGCCCCAGCAGCAGGTGGGGGCTTCCCCGATGCTGGAGGAATGGGAGGAGGGGCTGCTGGGGAGGGTGATGGAGGGTCCCTGCCGGGGCATTCTAGTTTCCTTCCCTGTGGGCTGTTGTGAACCCCACTCACCTGGGCGGGGCAGGCCGCCGGGTCCTGCCTGGGCTGCGGGGCAGGGTGCCTGGGAACAGCAGGTGGAGGAGGCTGATGCAACCCAAGGCAACCGTCAGGAGCCGGGCCATGGCGGGCGGGGCTGGAGGGAGCGTGAGCCAGGCAGGTGTGGGGGACCGATGGCTCTCACCTCCGCCACCCCTTTCCCCAGCCCTGCTGGGAAGCCCTGGTGATCAGGTGCACAGGCGTGGGGACTGGAAGCTCCTACCTGAGTCCGTCGGTGGCCGATAGGTATCAGGAGAGAAGCAGCCAGTGGGTTTGGTGCCGGCTGGGCAGGGAGCGCCTGGCAGGTGGGGAACCTCCCCAGTCAGTGTGTGGTCTGAGGTTGGTGGGTTGGTCTGGGGCCTGCCTGGGACCCGGCCTCAGCACCTCCCGAACTAAGTAGTTTTTCCAGGAGGAGGCGGAGCCGGATGCCCCAGCTGGGCAGGAAGCCCGGCCCTCCTGCTCCCTACTCCAGCCCAGCCCGTTGGGCAGCACAGAGGGGGTAGTCTGACAGAAGCCCCATCCCGCTGGGAAGTGCTCCGACTGGCCAGGGCCCCCACGGCTACCCGCCTCTGGCGCTGTCTGGTGGAGAGGATTGTCCGGGAGCCTGGGGATCTTGCCCACGGAAGGAGTGGGTATGTGTGAGGGGGGGTTGCTGTCCCCCAGGCCGGGTCCCACCCCCAGACATCTGCCCTGCCTGGCGGCCTGGGGATCTGGCTAGAATCACGGGAGTGGACAACAGCACTCTAGCTGGTCGGTTCCGCACGGAGGTGATTTGGAGACCCTCCCTCCAGACCCCCCCACAGCTGTATTCTGAAAAATCCCCACCCTCTTTCCCTATTACTGAAGTAGTAAATGGGTTTTGTATGAAATTTAAATAAGTAAAAAGTGAGACCCCTGCATTGCCACCCTTTCTCTTCTGCACACTAGTATTATGCTGGGGGCCAGTGGTGGTGTGTGTGTGTTTCACGGTGTTTGTAAGTAAAAACATACGTATGTAAAGAGAGAGACCTCCAGGCCCTCCTCCTATATGTAGGTGTTCTGTAACTTCTTTTTTTTTTTATGATTTTATTTATTTATCTGACAGAGATCACAAGTAGGCAGAGAGGCGGGCAGAGAGAGAGGGGGAAGCAGGCTCCCCGCTGAGCAGAGAGCCTGATATGGGGCTCGATCCCAGGACCCTGAGATCATGACCAGAGCCAAAGGCAGAGGCTTAACCCACTGAGCCACTCAGGTGCCCCTGTTCTGTAACTTCTTAATTGATCTTTTATTAATGAAGAATTAGGCAATGTCTGGTCTTTTCAAGAGCAAGAACCCTTCTGTTGTGAGCTCAGAGAAGTGTCAGGATAGGATCCTTTCCTAGGAGAGGAAATTCTGCTCGAAGGTGAAGCTGTGTTTGTGTTGACAGATAGTGCCAAGCTGTTCTCCACAAAACTTGTGCCGTCCACTCAACTGATGATGGGCGTGTATTGGCCGTTCTTTGGGCCTTTGTCAATCTGAGAAGGGACAGTTACCCCCCATCCCCCCCCAAGATGTATCTTTGATCATCAGAGTGTCTCTGTGTCCATTCCCATTTCCTCCTCTGTCTTAGCTGCTCCAGTCCTACTGCCTCTGTCAAGTCACCACGGATAACGTGGTCACTCTCTGTGCCTACTGCTGCGTACCCTGCAGGAGCTCAGTAAACACTTGCTGGGTGAATAAATCGACAAGTGTTGAACACATGGCGTGTTGGAGAGTTTGGTTTACATCCTGAAGAAGGTAGGGAAGCACCAGCAGCCATTCTGCTTATTTATTTATTTATTTTTGCCACCTGGGGGAGGAGAGAGTGAAACCATCACCGTTACAGTAGAAAAGTGCCATAGGGAAGGAGGGGTGCCTGGGGGCGAGCAGACGGGTCTGAGAGAAACTGAGTGACACTGGGGGGCAGGTGAGGAGGGTAGGCCCTTCTATTTGCCAAAGCAGGAAGCCCCTAGTGAGATAGGGTGGGTTTGGCCACCTGGGGTCATCCTGGCAGGGGTCTGGCTGCCATCTAGCCTCGTGGGCCTGGGGCTGAAGAGAGAGCAGAGCTGGATGGAACACAGGTCTGGGAGTTCCATAAATGGCAAGGCTCTGGGAGGCGAGAGGTGTGGTGAGCTCTGCCCCAGACAGTGCAGAAAGAGGACAGAAGCCGCATGCTAGCTCTGGAGGGACAACCCGGGAAGGGGGCGGGCAGAGGACCCCGGGACAGCCAGCCCTTTCCCCACAATCTGTCCACTGAAGTCTGCCATCTTTCCAAAACTCAGAGGTGATCGCACTACTCACTCCTCCAATAAAGAAAAAATTAGATCAAAATTCCTTGCCTCTGGGAGATTTTTTAATCCAGGAAAGTGAAGGTAAACTCAGCTCACAGGCCTGTGGCTCCATGCATTCTTTGTTTCAGAGTACTTGCTGCCACCATGGGCGTGTGCTCCCATCTCTCCCCAAACCCCAGATGCATGGGGTGTCCCCGGCCCCCCCCAAGTCCCTGCGACTGGATGAGAGGCCCCCTCTGTGGCCCCACAGCCCTCCGGACAGCACATCTCGCGGTCCTTGCTGTGTGTAATGGTGCGTGTCCTCCAAGGCCAGACCCGGGGCTACCTTCGGTACGCTCAGTTGCAGGAGCTGCTTGCCTGTGGAAATTCGCAAGACGCCCAGAGGTTTCCCTGGTGAGCGGGGGACTGATGGGGCCACAGGAGGCAGGTGGTGCTGGTGACACTGGCAGGATGCTTTAGAGAAGAAATTTGTGTGGGACAAGGAAAGCTAGCGTGGAGGCCGGCTGGGGGAAGCACTTGAAAAGAGCTTTTGTTTGAATGTTTTAAGGTGGGGAGGTTGAGTGTAATCCTCATGGCCAGGATCCGTAGAGAGGGCATGAGTGAGGAGGGGGCCACTGAGAGGGAATGGCAGGCAGTGGGGAGGTGGGGGGGAGGGGGTAACCACGGAAGGAGGAGTTGGGGTGTGAGGGGGCAGAACTGGGGTTTGGTGCTGCAGCAGAAGTCTTCCTGTCTGATGGCTTTGTTCTCTCTGTGAAGGGGGGGGCAGTGGGGTCGTCTCTGAGACATAGCAGGTGGGGTCAGAGGCTGACCAGACGTCAGCAGGCTGGGCAGTGGGAGGAGTGTCCGCGATGTCATCATGGCCACTCTGCACTATAGGGGGTGCGGGGCTGTGCATGGCTGGGGTTTGACAGATGGGGACACAGAAAACAAAGTCAGAGAGGCGGGGGCTGTCGAGGACAGGGGCAGGATGACAGGCGATCGGAGCCGCAGTGGGTGGTAAAAGGAGTGAAAGAGGAAGCCAGGGAGAGTCATTCCCTGCAGGAGGGCTTAACCTGTTGGAGAGAAGAGGTAAGGGGGGGCACAGTGCCCCAGAAGAGGAGGAAACAGGCAGAAGCACGTGCCTCTGAGGGTGACATGGACAATACAGTGGTCAGGAGACTTGGATGGCGAGAAACTCAGTGGGGGGTAGCATGGTCTAGAAGGGACCCCAAACCTACCCTCGACCCTATAGAACCTCTGAGACGGCTGCAAGGAATGGGCTCCTTATGGCCTGGGGGGGGGGACTGGGGCGCAGGGTCTCCACAGTCTCTGAGGGACAGCTGGCCCTGGGCTCAGGCACCAGGCCAAGGGACTTTCCAGGGACCCTGCCAGCGCATGCACAGCTCACAGGTGTGGTAATGTGGAGGTGAGGACCTATTTGGGTATAAGTGACAGAAACCAGCTCAAGCCACCTGGGGCCAAAGGGAGGGTTTCTCAGCCTGTGGACCCAATACCCAATACCCAACAGAAGCAGAGGTGTGGCAGGGCCGCTGGCCCAGGCGGGGGAGCAGGGGGAGCTCCCGGGTCCGTCTCACGCCCTCTCCCGCCGGCTCCTGCCGGGGAGCGGGGAGGGGCACGTGGATGGGGGCGGGGGGGGGCTGCCTCCCCGGGTTCCTGCGCAGCCAGGCACCGGAGAGCAAGCCCAGTCCCGTCAGCCCCACATCTCCAGCTCCTCTCCCAGCACGCCCTGCCCGAGACCCCGCGGCCCCCTCGGCCACCCCTGCGCACTGCGGGGAGGCCCCGGCCGGCCCTTGCCCTCCGGCGTGCGGCCTCCTCCCAGGCACCGCACCGGCCTGCAGGTGCTGTCGGCTCAGACGCTGGTCCTCACAGCGGGACGGGCAGTGCACCTCTTCAAAGGGCACCCCACCCGGATGGGGCTTCCAAGTGGGGCCCGAGCCCTCCTCGGGCCGCGAACCCCAAGGGCGAGGGCTGAGTCCTCCCCCGCAATCGCCAGGTTGGCAGCTCCTCAGGGGACCGCCCCGGGCTCGTCCTGTGCCCCGGGCGTGGGAGATCCGGGAGCAGGCCAGGGCCCTTCTGCCTCCCTCCAAACTGACCGCGCCGGGGTACAGCGGGATCCCCGGACGCTCACAGGAGCGAGGCCCGGCCCGTCTCCACCGCGGCGTAGGAACCGGGAGCTCGAGGCCGGCTCGGATCCCAGCCGCGCCTGCAGCTGACCCGCGCGAGCTGCCGTCGCTGTCAGCGCCCGGGGGGCGGGGCAGGTAGGGTTCCCGCCCCCCGGGAACCGAGCCCGCGCCGACTGGCCCAATGGGAGCCGGCAGCTCCGGGCCCCGCCCACGATGGGGGCGGGGCGAGGCCGCGCAGGCGTACGGCGCAGCCGGGCGGGCCGGCTGGCTGGGAAGATGGCGGCGGGAGCCCTGGCCGCCGCCGCGGAGCGGGCCCGGGGTGTCCGGGGAGCGCGGGCCAGGGCCGGGGCCGGGCCATGAGCGCGCCGCCGTCGCGTCCCCGAGCCGCGGAGCCCGCCCGCGCACCTCGCCATGGCGCGGCTCGCGGACTACTTCGTGCTGGTGGCGTTCGGGCCGCACCCGCGCGGTGAGTGCCGGGCCCGCGGCCGAGGGCTGCGGGCGGAGGGCCGGAGCCGGGAGACCGGGAAGGGTCAGCCGGGACGGCGGGAGACGCGCGCTGGGGCAGTCGCGGGGACATGTGAGGCGGGCGGGCCGTGGCCGCCGGGCCAGCGCAGGGGTCGTCCGGGGCACCTGCCGGGCTGGGGTCCCGGGTCGGGGGTCGGGGCGGGGCGGCCTCCCTGAGGACAGCAGGGCAGCGCGGCACGGCGAGCCGAACCTGCGCGCCACAGTCGGGACAGAACCGGGTCAGGCAGAGCTTTGGCGTGGGCCTGGGAGGTGGGAGGGCCCCGAGACGGCTCGGCCTCCCGGCTCCCGGTTGGGTGGGATGGGCCGTCTGTGCCTTGGCCGACTGCCGGTAGCTCTGCTTCCAGGGGCACGGATCTTTCGGCCGCAAGCCCCTCCTTGGACCCCCGGTGCTTCTGGTCTGGAGCCCGTCCGTGTGGGGTGTCTCAGGTCCCGGAGGCTTGGTGCGAT